GGGGAAGATGACCGAGGTGAACCAGATCTCCAGGACAGCAAAGTTGCGGAGGAAGTAGTACATGGGGGTGTGGAGGCGCCTGTCCGCGAGGGTGATGAGCACGATGAGGAGGTTCCCCAGCAGTGTGAGGAGGTAGGTCAGGAGGAGCCCCAGGAAGATGAGCATCTGCAGCTCACAGGCATCTGAGAGCCCCAGGAGGACAAACTCGACGACAGTGGTGTGGTTTTCCATGGCTTGTCTGTCCTCTCCAGCAGATGACTGATCAAAAGTGTTTGGCATCAGGAGTCATGACGTTGGAACCTAAGGACGACCTGGAACAGAAAGAAAGGAGGGATGAGTGCCGCATTTTGGGCTGAAGGACAGATATTCCTGCCACTGACTACTCAGGCCTGTTTGCAGAGCCTCTGGGTATGCCTGTCCCATGTGTGGTCTCTGTATCTGTGTGTTACAGGAGAGAGCGTTGATGTACAGGGTGGCCTATGTAAGGTTCAGAACAAAAATTTATCCTTGTTATTATTATTATTATTTTTGAGTTGTGTCTCACTCTATTGCCCAGGCTGAAGGGCAGTGACATGCTCATACCCACTGCAGCCTCGATCTGCTGGGCTCAGTTGATCTTTCCGCCTCAGCCTTCCAAGTATCTGGAACCACAAGTGTGTGCCACTATGCCCAGCTAATTTCTGGGTGCATTGTAGAAATGAGGTCTGGCCAAGTTGCTTAGGCCAGACCTCATCTCTACAATGCATCCAGAAATGCTTAGTCCAACCCCTGGACTCAGGCAAACCTCTCACCTCTGCCTCCCAAAGTACTGGGACTTGTTACTTTTCTTAACCACAACTTTTATTTCTGATTCTGCAGTAAATTCCTTTGCCCTTAGTAATATAATCTGCTTTTATCACCTTTTGTTCTCATGATTATATCAATATTGGGTCTCATCCATAAACAGTTCATATTTGAGGGTGTTACTATTTCAAGATCGCCTGAATCTTTGATGCCTTTCACTAGTATTTCGATTAATAAAAAAGGGTAGAGGAAGCCGGGCTCGGTGGCTCAGCCTGTAATCCTGCGCTTTGGGAGGCTGAGGTGAGTGG